AGCAATGCCCCCTTGCTATATTACAACTGTTGCTTGAAGACCCCCCGCCCCGCCCCACTCTGTATGCTTATCATTTTCCCCACCCCACATAGTGACTCACGGAGAGATGTCAATTTCCTATGGCTGCTGTGATAAATCTTGAGCTGGGCCTGTCTGTCTGTCTGTCTGTCTGCTTTCTCTCTCTCACACACACACACACACACACACACACACACACACACACACACACACACCTACCTGTAATGCCCACACTAGGGAGGCTGAGGCAGGAGCATCACTAGTTTCAGGCTATCCTGGACTGCATATTCTCCAAAGTAACACCCAGGCCTCACTGAGGGAATCTAGGCTGGGCAGGGCCAGTTTCTGAGAGGCTACAGGGAAAGCCTTGTCTAGAACATCCCTTGGCTTGCACCCCCCATGTCTGTCTCCAAGGCCTGCAATGCAGAACAACCACTGTCATGGTCCTTGCTGACCCTCTCCTACCTGACTCATCTAGCAGAATCCCCCTATGGCTGTCCTGGGACAATCTCATTGTTAACCTGTCTCCAGGTCAGTTGCTTGGGGGACACATGCTGCATCCTGTACCCAGAGGGCTCTAAGCTCAGGCCTGGGAAGCCTTTGGAATTTGTCATTCCCCTGAATCTGACACCATGTGAAAATCACTGGGTTATTCAGGGCAGGAGCTGATAGATGGGGCAAGGGATACTCCACTGTGGAGTTCCTGCTTAGGTGACAGGGTCCACAAGTTCCTGTGCTTGTGGCTTTGCCCTCAAGGTTCCTGGGGGCCTTTGTGCTCCAGCCCCAGAAGGCCCAACTGTGGTCCTCCTCACCACAGCTATGATAGGACACTGTTGATGAATTCTGAGGAGAAGAGGGGCTGGGGGAGAGCTCTGTCCCTCCATCTCTGCACCAGCTGGCCACTCTCCATGGCAGTGTATCTCAGGCTCTGGAGCCTTAAGCCTATGTCCTACCTAGGCTCCTAAGGCTCCATTTCCTGGTTCTAAGGCTACCCCCGAGGCTCCCACTGTCCTCAGGCTCTGAGCTGCTCTGCAGCAGGGAATACGATCTGCCCTTGCAGCACTTTGTAGCCAGGATCTGGCCTCTGTTGGGACACCCTTGTCAGGCCTCTGTTGGGACACCTCTTACCTAGCCCCTGTTGAGGACACCCTTTGTCAAGCCTCTGTGGGAACACTCCTCACCTGGCCCCTCCATACCCTCCAGGTGATGGCTAGAGTTTGAATTTCCTCAAGGCTTCCCCTTGCTCTTGCCGCCTGTCCTTCTGTCTTCCAATCTCATGCCTGCTTCTCAGAGCCCTCTGGGAACAGCACTGTGCCAGGCCCACCTTGTACCACCTGCCTACCTCGGTCTGACTCTATACCTTCCCGTCTCTGAGGGGTGGGAGTGGCTCTGGGTCCCAACCCTGAGAACACAGGTTCTGAGAAGCAGATTCCCTGGGCCGAGTTGTAGCCCTGGGAAGGGTTTCTGGGTGCTGAGGCCACATCTAGTGGATGTAACTGTGGGATCATGAGGTGCTAGAAGTGAACACTCAGAGGGGGGGATGTTTGCTCCAACTGCCATTCCCACCCGACCCCTTTTCCTTGCTAGTTATGTGCTCTGCTGTTGGGACACGGGCATCTTTACATGCTCAAGTCTGAGTCTGCTGCGTCCTGAGTGTGAGGCCTGGCTCTGCACCTGGCTTGTGGTATAAGCTGAATGTCGGAAGTCATTCCATGTTTTGGTGGAATATGGATGTGACCGGTCTGTCTTAGTTAGGATTTCTCTCCCTGTGATAAAACTGTCCAAAAGCAGCTTGAGCAAGAGGGTGGTTGTTTGGCTTAGCTGTCCTGGGAACAGTCCTCTGAAAGAAGCCAAGGCAGGAACCTGGAGGCACAAAGAGAAGGAGAAGCCTTATATGAACTGTTTACTGGCTTGCTCCTAATGGCTTTCTCAGTCTGCTTTCTTTTTTTTTTTTTTCTTTTTTCTTTTTTTTTGTTTTTATTTTTGTTTTTTTTGTTTTTTGAGACAGGGTTTCTCTGTGTAGCTTTGGAGCCTATCCTGGCACTCACTCTGGAGACCAGGCTGGCCTCGAACTCACAGAGATCTGCCTGCCTCTGCCTCCCGAGTGCTGGGATTAAAGGCGTGTGCCACCAACTCCCAGCTCAGTCTGCTTTCTTTCTTTCTTTTTTTTTTTTTAAGATTTTATTTATTATGTATACAACATTCTGCTTCCATGTATATCTGCACACCAGAAGAGGGCACCAAATCTCATAATGGATGGTTGTGAGCCACCATGTGGTTGCTGGGAATTGAACTCAGGACCTCTGGAAGAGCAGTCAGTGCTCTTAACCACTGAGCCATCTCTCCAGCCCCTCAGTCTGCTTTCTTATACAACCCAAAACCACTTGCCTTGGGATGGCCCCACCCACAGTGGCCTGGACCCTTCCACATCAATCAGCAATCAAGAAAACACCCTACAGACTTGCCCACAGACAATCTGATGGAGGCGTTTTTTTTTTTTTTTTCCCCATTGAGGTTCCTCTTCCCAGATAACTGTAGCTTGTGTCAAGTTGACAAAAAAATTAACTAGCACACTGACCATTAGAAGGCAAAAGCCAGCCATCTCTAATGTGCAGTGTGATGCCAGCACACAGGACGAAGGCGCTGGCTTGTCACCAGCAACCCTGCCTCTTCCTCCTCTTTGTCAGGAAAGTGGGCTTCTGGCCGAGGCTGCCTCTGTTGTTAGGAAGGCAGGGAGGGTCCTCAGCTGGCAGAGTGCCCATGGCAGCATGGTGAGAGCTGAGCATGGTGGCACCAGGCACGGAAAGGTCCTGCCTATGGCTGGCGAGCTGCAGCTGCTCCAGTAGATGAAGAATGGGGTTCAGCTCCCAGCCCACTGCCCCCCCTATTCTCCTCTGCAGCAGGCTCCTGTCACATACCACACTGTGTCATCTCCTCCCTTGAGTGCTGCCAGTGAAGCTGGGACCTAATATCTGGCTCCCACTAGCA